TGTTCCACATTCGTTACTCATAGATCCCGTTCCCTTGCCCCACAATCTGTGCATGTGTGCGTTCAGCGCTTGATGGAAAGCATCACGGGAGTTGCAAACACAATCAGACGCACGCGAAGCACCTCACTACCCTGAAAATCACCAGAGCTTGAAAACCTGTCCTCAGTTTGACCTTGCTTTGCTCCTTTCAGGTGCACAGACTGGCCAAAAGAATCTGCTAACAGACAAATGAGAGTCTGCATTCAAGAATACAGATATGAACTTGGCCCGGTTCCATTACCGAGGTGATTTGTGCATCTTGGTGCCACCAGAAGAGAATTCATTTCAGCTGAGAGTCTATCTACAGGCCACGGGGCTATTAGCGTATAATGTGGTTCAGACAGTCACAGGCAGGCAGGAGCAGAGCAGCCTCAGACCCACGTGACCTCCCAATTAAGAGCCTTTTGTTGACATTCACAGTGGTGCTGTACCGCCCTCACAGAGTGCCTGTATCAGTATTCTACATGAGGCATAAAGCATACTGATAACATCACTGGATCTATAAGGGGACCAGGCATTTATATTAAGGATAAAGGATACATTTGTTAGGAACAAAATGCAATTTGTCCCATCCTCACAGATGCAACGATATCAACATGAAGGTGAGGGAGATGTCAGTCAAATACTGTACTTGCTCACACAGTCCTGAAGAGGTCTAATCATGCAAACACAATAAGAGTAATCATCGTAATGACTCTACCCTCGGCCTAATTCCGATTCTTTATTTTCAGGTGGAGAGTAACGCATTCAAGTACACTGGAGCACTAGAGCATTTTGAGTGTTCTTCTTTATACTTCTTTACATTTCAGATAGGAATACTTTTTATCCGTCAAATTCAATTGGCAGGTTCTGTGAAGATTACGATTTTACATACCCCTGATGAAACATATAAAATGCTCACATATTAATGCATTATGTTAGGGACAATTTCTATGATTAATCGGGAGAAGAGTCAAAGTTTTCAATCTATGTCAATAAACAGAGCCTTGAGAGAATCAACGTTATTGTCTTTAGTGCTTGCAAGCAGGAGAACGTTTCAACAGACACGTATTTCAGTGTACAGCAGAAAGGCTTCAACAAAGTCTCAGACGTCTCGTCATTTTATGCCTGCAAAGCCCCCTCCTCCGAGGTAAATCATCCATAAGAGAACGGGTATTCAGACATGGGCTGTTTTGATCCGCTCAAAGGTCTGGTTCCTGCCAGGACATAACAAACATGACATCAGGTTCATTAGCCTTTCTGTTCTTCTGTGAGAGCAAAAGACACACAAGACATCAAGTTCACTGCTAAATGATGAACTACTTCTGCAGGGATCTGCTGTGTCATTGTCAGAGAGTGTTCAAAACATATTTTCCCATTACAATTAGTATCATAATCAAATGATATAATAGGTATTATATCCAATGATGTGATATAACAGGAGCCACCCAAGACTTTTGATACTTCGTACAGATCGCTATACAGTTATGAATGCATGTCGTTGACCTGTAATGTACTGTTTTTATAGTGTTGACTTGTACCGCTATACTTTGACTGAAGTAGAAGATCTCAATACTTCTTCCACCACTGATTTTAAAACTTTGTCAAACTAACTACAACTCCAAGCCCCCAAAACGTCAACGTTGGCTCCAGAAAAATGTAGTTTTCACAGTTTATAATACTGACCATAAGGATTTTTTTTGAGATGCATCTTTTCTTACTTTTTTTCAAGAAGATGACATCATTTTGGAAGGAATACTCCAGAACATCAAGACAAAGTGATATGTGGCAGCATTTCTTTTTACATACGGTAATGCATATTAGGCACTTAAGATTAATCAGTACATTGCTGCTTCATCTTGTGTATTTTCATGAAGATAGCATTTTTTTTTTAAATTAAAAACTTATGTTGACTTGGCAATTTGTTCTTTTTTTTGTTGTTATACTAGTTTACAGCAAACCATCCTGGCGAGGCATTTCTCCTCCTGTGCGCCTGCCAATTTAAATCTCCCTCTCTTGGCGATGCTACTTCCGTTTTCAGCATGCTACAGCGCCGTCACTCTCGTTTTTTTCCTCCTCCATCGAGAGCTTACACGGGCAGCTTAAGGCGGGGAGGTAAACTTTTGGCAATATCAGAGTGAAGGTTCTATAGCGGTGTGCCCGAACAGTGTCTGCGCGTCTTCAGCTCAACGCTCATCGCAGTCCGTCGCAGCGAGAAATAAAGTGCGGCCACGGAGGACCGAAGGGGAGAGGCACCGAAGATAGAGGCTCCCGATATGAAATGAATATGCACAGAGACGATTCCGTGGAACCGATCCGTCGCTATCTGCCACTGGGTTGCTGAGGGACCAAATATTAATAATAACAATAGTGTTAAAGAGAGAGAGACAGAACCGAGACTCGCAACGCAAAAGAGAGCCGGGAGGAGAGGACCGCTGTGCCGGGGGGGACGCGAAGGGACTCGATCTGCATGTGAGACCGCTGGTCCACACACACCGGAGGCAAGAGATGCAGCCTGCGAGCAAGCTCCTGAGTCTGGTTCTCCTCGTCTTCATGGGCACAGAACTCACCCAAGTAGGTTTTTTTTTGTGTGTGTTTTTTTTTTAACGCCATTTTCCACATCCTGTGTTAAAAGCTAAAAAGCTGGCGGTTAATTGGCTTCAGATCCACGGAGAGATTACCCGCTTACCTCGCGTAACGGGTCCCCGTGAATTAGCCCTCTACCCCCTGCTTAAACAGATTAACGGGTGGGATTACATGATGTGAATGCATTGTGCTTGACGGGCGCGGACAGATCCAGCAGAGCCCCGTGCGGTAACCCCCCCCCCCCCCCCCCCACCACCACCGACGGGGATGACAAACCGGCCAGATAGAGAGGGGGGAATTATTGCATGATCTGTCAGTTCTCTCATTAGCAAATGGTCAGATTAATCAACTGCAGGGCTTTTTTTTTTTTGCCTGATACAATATGTTGCCTGTAGCTTTCTCTAAAAAGGCCACTGTTGAATCATGGGCTCCACAATCAAATGCAGTGTCTCACAGAAGGTGTTTGGAGCATGCTCAATGACCACAGTGTGACTTACTGTTTCCCTCTGGGGGGGGGAGAGAACATTTAGTCCAACAATGTAAAGCTACCCAGCTCAGCATAGTAAACAAATTTACCGGTCAATAAAATGCATCTCTGTGATCCTTTACTGGAACTAGTAATTACTTCCTGCTCTCTGAAAGGCCATTTCCAGCAATACATATCATAGTTACTGTAGCATTAAGCTGTTGCCTTTATACATCCTCACAGACAGTGTTATGATGGGGGAGAGAATTTATTAATCACCAGGCCCTGCCACCACCGGATTGAAGAATTTGACGATTTAATTGCCCATGCTCGAACACAGAGTCACATTTCATTTGCCTCTCTCTGTTGTGTGAATCCAATTGTGTTTGGTAATTGGAGACTTGCAAACTAAAAATCTAATCTGACACAGAGGTATCAATAAATGCTTCTCTTTTCCCAGAGTATCTGTAATATACTCTGAGAGACAAACTCAATAAAATGTGTTAGAAGTAGGCTGCTGCAAACCCTGCTGGCCCTGATAACCAATGTGTTAGAATATTGATGTAATATTACCTTGAAACAACTGTGCCAGCAATATTTATTTCAGCAAATGCATGAGAACTGTCGGCGTGCTGTGAGCGGAACCATTTTTCATTACACACAGTTGTCGCCGGTGCCCTTTTATCTCCCCGTAGACTGAAGCATCACATGTGTGTGCCTGTAATCTGAACTGGACATGAGTAGTGCAGCCGGATAGAGGGCACACAAATGCTGACACGATGGCACATTGGGGCTATGTGCACTGATTGATGGAAGCCATCGGCCGGAGGAGGGAGGAACAGAGAGCGTGTTTCAATTTGTCTTTCATGACAGTCGGGTTTCGGGTCAGGGGGGCCCCCCACGTTATGGTGACAGTGCTTCTCTGGTGGCCCTAGAGCTTGTGTTCATCCGTTTGAAGGTAAGTCGATGTAAGTCCACAGCCGCTCCCCTTTCCAGGAGAGCAGAAACACCAGAGACACTGACAGGCTCTATTTATACGGCCTCTGCTGGAGAAACCCACAGTACATCTCACTGTAGGAAGGCCAGCCCTCTGCACATCTCATCTCTGTTTGAAGACAGATATAAAAGAAAGTGAGAGGTGTATCCAGAGACAGAGAGATTGAGAACCTTTTTTTATTGCCGGATTACTCATGGGCACGGCCCATGACCTTTTCTGCTGAACAATGACGCTCTCTTCATGACCACATGAAGAAACCTCGCTTCAAAAGTCTCACGCAGTTTCAAACGGCGTGGAGGGCAGCTGCCGCTCTTTCTCTCAACATCTGGCCGAGGGAGCATGGAGCCGCCTGATTAGTAGGCCGCGCTCCTCTTTAATTCCACCTCTATCCCCACCGCTGAAGGATTTCACCCCATCGCTTGGTGTCCTCTCGCAGAGAAGAATAGTGAGCAGCCAGAGCGGCATCTGTTCCTCACCTAGTGGGCTCCCACATGACTTCGGGCCCACATCCTAAAGCATCTTCGCAGACACCTGACAACACAGATGGCACCGTGCAACCCACATACCACAGCACAAACAATCGTCGTGCAAAAAGGTTAACGTTCGTATGCATGCACAATCAAGAATGCATGTATTGTTGCATTAAAGAAATCGCTTCCAATTCACATGAATCAATTCAGTCTAACACGCCTAATGCTGAAACTATAAGGGCTCCAGCGAGGGGATCATTTAGAAACAAGTTAGTGGGATTTTAAATGTATGAAAGCATAGGAATCAATCCGGGGTTTTTTTTTATGTGAGAAACTGAGATGGAGTTGAGCTGAATTGCAATACGCGTGGCAGCTGGGGTTGAAGCTATTTATTATTCAGTATGGTTGGTGAAGCAAGTGGAGAGAGAGGGAGAGAGAGAGAGAGAGAGAGAGGGAGAGAGAGAGAGAGAGAGAGCGGGAGAGAGAGAGAGGCAGAGGAGGAGTAGGTGGAGATACGGTGCATTTTGTGGTTCACTTGCAGGCTGGAAATGTGATTTTTCGCAATACTGTTTAAGCATTTATTGCATTGGATACTAAGTGTGTCAATGTGGTTATCCTACTGTACTGTCCAAACACCTGTTCGCTATGATGCAATAGAGTGAAAAAGCCCAGTCAGAAATACTAATAGAGCTTTTATTATATTATAAAGATGCTTTCTTGCCCCTCCAGACAACTTTCACTTATACCTTAAATCACAATTTTCGTCCTTTTTTAAAGAGAAAATAACTTTGACGGCATACCTACAGCACACAGCACCACAAGTTGTTCTCTTACAGTTACCATATCATTTGAACAACACCTCTCTTACAACGTCCTATTTATGCAAGGTTTTTATATCAGACCGTGTAACTGATCATTGTGCGAGTGTTGCTTTTGAGATCTTGTATGCAGAAAAACAGATCAATCCTTCTTCGGGGCAGCTACTAATGAGTGGTTTTAAATGACAAATGTCTCTATAAATAGTGGGTGATTGATTGATTTCTTTCTTTCTTTCATTGACTCAGTGCACCTGTGGCGTTCCTCCTGCAGCTGCCGTATTAAATACTGACTTTGTGTTAGAGGTGGGAGCAAAGCTTTTGATCATTTGCTTCACCGCCATTAAAACGGAATGGGATCCACGCCTGGGAGGCTTAGAAGACTAACTGTACCCTCTTGAAGGCTATGTGATTAGAGGGCGCTGCGCTGCACTGAGCGGCACCATATTAACACCAGACTATAGAATGGACTCTGGACAGCGGTGCACAGCGGTGAGCTGACCCCAGCCGATGCTTCAAAGTAATCTGTGGAGCCATCAACTACTGCAAGCTCTCACCTCAAAGGTCATAAAGAAGTGGGAGAGGCAGGGAGAGAGAGGCAGGGGGGGGGGCGATACGGAGGTGCAGTGAGTGCCGACTGTCTCTCCGTCTGTCTTTCAGTTTACCAGAAAAATGCATTATGGAGCTGACAGAAATAGTTGTGGACGCAGAGCCACTCATGCTATTCTGGAGACCTCATGTATCATGCAGTTCTGCAATTTAGGCCGTCATCTGGAGTCTGGCCTCTGGCCCTGATGACAACTCAGTTATATTTGAGAGATATTATTATTTACACAATTAGCGCAATTAAACTGCACTCTATAATGCAGTTATAACCCGTTTTGACTCTAATAATAACCATGCATTCAGTGCATAAACGTAATGTAAACTCATTGGAAATCGACAAGTGTCTTTAAAAATAAATAAATGTAGGCCTACATATATAATCTTTGCACATTTTGTGCCGCGTCCTTGCATTTTAAAAGCGCCTCTTTTGATTTCGGCAACGCCCAAATCAGCTACACGATGGCGCCAGAGTCACGCGAATGAAATATATAAAAAAGCCCACCCTCTGTTGGAGCTCAAGGCATCCGGTTACCCATCAATAAAACATAACCCCGAGTTCTCGCACCCCTCTGTCCCTGAGATGCGACATTCTGCACACGCGGTTTTTGTTTGTTTGTCGTGTGTACTTTGACATGTGACTTTGCAGTGGTTGCATCACTGTGATGTGCATGTTTTAATTTGAATGAGCTTTACCGCGCATGATCCGGAGCACGTTTGCCTCTATGATGGAGAGCCTCCTCTCCTGATGGGGCAGCGGAGAAAGACATGTCACCGTCCGCTGTGAAATAATCCCTCAGCATCATTGTCGGCCGACCTCAGCCGCACTGCTCATTGTCATTCCCTCTTGGGGGGGCAGTCAGTGTCGGGCAGCTGTGAGCGAATCAGGTGCAATCCCAGATATTACCACGTACAGACCCCAACCTGGCTGACATCATTGCGTCTGGCGGTGTAGATAGATCCGTAGTACCTCCTCCTTCCTCCTCTCATCCATTCGGACCCGCCTCTGTATGTGTAGTCAGTGGCACTTAATCACAGAGCTCACTCAAGGCAGGAGGCGGACCGTCGGGCGTGAACCAAATAGTAACGGTGAACCGGAGAGGCAGCAGTGCGCGGGACAACGCATGCAGAGCAGCTATCCAAAAGACGCTTCCAGCTCTCGGGGTTTTTTTTTTCCTGTTCTTTATCCTCCTCTGGAGCAAGTGTTGCAGTTTTTCTTTTCTCCGTCCCGAGCCCCCTTTTACGTTCAGGTCGTCTCTTTCGCGTCCGACTCGTTCGTCGCCAGTGCTTCGTCGGAGATGTCCAAAAAAAGACCAGCCGAGCCGGAGTCCCGGGTGAAACAGCAAGCCGCTCTGGGCAACATGACTCGCCTACCTTGTTTCTCACCGGAGGAATCTGTAGAATGAAAACGGCTTAAAAAAAAATTTAAAAAATTGAATAAAGTCCAAGCAGCGCGCAAAGATGTCGGTTCCTTTGCTGAAAATCGGCGTCGTGCTCAGCACCATGGCGATGATTACCAACTGGATGTCGCAGACCCTCCCCTCTCTGGTGGGGCTTAATACTACCAAGCTCACGGCGGCACAGGGAGGGTACCCAGACCGGAGCACAGGAGTAAGTGTGCAAGTTTCGCATATTTCCTGCGGATGGTTGAGGGTTTTATTTTCCTCCTGAATGAATGTTGCAATTACATTTCAATTGAAACATAAGAGTGCCAACCATATGTGTGCTTTGGTTCATAATTAATGATGCGCTCTGCTGGACGCATGCAAAAGTGGGGGAAAAAAAGAGACTTGGAGAGGCATCATAGATATCTTCTTGCGTCTGATGTTTCTCCAGCCACCACTGGGCTGCTGTCCCTGTCGATATGAGTAGCCTGCACTAAGTGGAAAGTTGTCAGTCGGTTCTTTTTTCTTCTTCTCTGGTATTGCTACAAATAAGAGATCCACGGTAGAGTATTAACCGACCGACATGAGAAATTTCCAGGCAGTTTCTT